AGTCCGAGACAAGTCCGAGTGCAAACACCAACGAGTCCGAGACAAGTCCGAGACAAGTCCGAGACGATAGAAAAATGTCTGGAGTCTGGACTCGAGTCCGGAGTACTACAGCCCTAGTACCAAGATGATCGACAAAGTAGTCCATGTGACATCGAGTACTACAGCCCTACAGCAAGGAATAAAGCATTGCTGTTCTGATGGGCCATTCTAGATTGTGTAATAAGTGTAAAGTTATTATGGACAGAACTGTGCCAGCAACAACAAAAAAACCTACTGTACAAGTACAATCGTGCAGAGGAGAGTGGACGTTTCTAAGTCCTTTATTAAGGGAGCTGAATGTCAGGTTTGGGTGGGGGATGCAGGCCTTGGTGAGTAAAAAAAACACCCCACCAACTCAATATATATAATATAGTTCTAAAAGTCTTAAAGTTCTATAACATTTAAACAATTGAATTAATTTTCCTGCCACAGCCCTTCAATACAACAAACAAATCCGTCACAGACAGACTCTCCATTCAGTCCTGTTAATCTATCCTGGTAAATCTCTCAGATAATTCAGATCTCCTGTGCCCATGTGCAAAAATCAATTAAACGGCCAGCGGTCATGGGAGAAGGCCATTACACTTTATCATGAGTTTGCTGTGAAGTCAGCACAGGAGAGAATAGGAAGAGAGAAGAGTAGTGGAGGGGTCAGGGTTGTGAACTCAATCAACTCACTGGTTATTGTGAGACCCACAAACCCAGGGGGCCACTGTCACCACTGACTGGCCCTGCTGCAGGTGCTTAGACATGGATGGTTAAACAAGTGCATGTACGGGTCAGGCACACTGATGGCCTAGGGAACGAGGAGGGAATTCATATGAGGATAGTTCTACAGTTCTACACCTTAGCTCAGATGGGACACAAACTTCTGAGGCATTTGGAAACAGTGATGTTTATTGTTCATCATCCATAATCCTACAAAAAGGTTTCTGGGCACCACTCACAGCACCCATAATAGTAGACTAAAATAACTTCACCACACCCCAGCATGTCATAACTTTAATCTTAATAAGATTTAACTCTCCCTCTGTTGTTTTACTTGCAAACCAATTGAAGGCCTCCAAATTCAGTTAAATAAGAGATGTTATTTAAAATGCATTGGGAGTGCAGGAAATGTCAGAGTAACAATTACAATACATTTGAATACATTAAAGATCCAATTTTACAATTAGAACAATACAAATATAAGGCAAAAATTATAGTCTTTGCTATAAAATAATAACTTTAAAAGCATAATTCGGAGCCCCTAGGTCTTACATGAACAATAAAACATAATGATGAACAGTTGGATATCAGAGTAGCCAACGGTTATTTCAGCTATTAGTAGACCAAACAAATTTTGAAGATGTTCATACTCAAACAGCTATTAAATAATAATCCTGTCCACCATTGTGTATTGTGGAGCAGAAAAGACATTTCACCACATGGAGATCAAAATCAAACAGATTGTTTTATTATTTATTATCCTTCCTAAGTAGATATTTTCTTAAAATGTACCTCAATATCAATATGACAGGAACAATATTTCTCTAATCCCTTCACACATGTGGATTTGTGGTTTATTATAGGAATTTAACGTATGCTACTCTCCTAGTAATCCATGGAAGCCTTATGCTAAAGTTGCCTGAAATGTAAATCTGACACAAGCTGCGAAAATTGATGGATACAATTAGCTTGTCTACTAGCATATGCTGTGCTCCGAGAATTTAAATTGGTGTGATTAATTGTGAAGCAAATGTGTGCAGACAGGCAAGCTTTAAAGAGACAACGCGAGAGTAAAGAGTTTCAACAATGACAAACTTGAAGCTTTACTGCATGAAATCAATTTCACCCAAATATGATAAGGAAATTAATTTTGAGACAGTTTAATCAAATAGTCTGCCATTTCAATTAATTTGATGAAAACTCTTTGTGAACCAGCTACCAGTAACAATTACATGAAAGGGTATAAACAAGTAGCCCCTGGACTGCAATTATGTTAAACAGTCCAGCGAGGATGGAAAACTTAATCATTTACTCTAACTACTCGATTCAGAGTCAAAGATGACATTTAAGTGCCAGAGTCTGTCTGAAATTGGCCAATGCCCTGAATTCAATGGATATACCAAATCTGATTAACTTTATAGCAATGTCTTCAATTACAGAGGTCATTTAAAAAGGTATTTTCTATTTTGAA